GTTTAAATATCTACTTTTTTCTTCACATTCAAATCCCTGTCTTTATTACTTAATTTTTCCAGTGATTTATTTCAGCTCTTTTTTCTTTTCTTCTTTATCACTGATTTGTATTCTTTTATTTATTCTTTATAACAAACTATTTTTTTATTAGATTTTATCAAAGGTTAATTTTTCTTTTTTGTCTTTACCCACATGTTTCTTTTGTTGTGTTATTTTTATACGTATTTGCTTCTCATTCTTCATTTTTATTAACTCTTTTTTTTCATCCCTCTCCTTTCCCGTCCTTTAAAAATTTAATACGTTTCTTATTTCTTCGTTCTTTATTTATGTATGTTCTGTATTTATGTATATGTATCTAGCTTTTTGTATGTTTTCTTCACATTTGAATTTTGATCTTATTTTTTTCATTTTCCTATGATTTTTTTTGACAGTTTTTTAATTTTTTTATTATTAGATTTTTATTTAATTTTTTTATTAACTCATGTTGTTTGTTGGTGCTTTCTTCATTTCTTCGTTCTTCGTTTTCTTATCAATCGTTTTCTTTATTTACGAGTTTAAATATCTCCTTTTGTTTTTTCTTCAAATTCAAATCTTGGTCTTCATTACTTAATTTTTTCAGTGATTTTTTCATCACTCTTTTCTTTTCTTCTTTATCACTGATTGGTATTCCTCCATTTATTCTTTGTGACAAACTATTTCTAAGCTACATTTTTTCTAAATCCTTATCCATTTTTTTCTTCTAGTTTCTTTTCTATTCTTTATTAGATTTTGTAAATGGTTTATTTCTCTTCTCTTTTTTCTTCACCTTCTCTTCTTTCTATCTAAAAAAATATCTCTAATATGTTTTCATACTTTTACTGTTTTTTTATGAGTAATTTTTATACTTATTTGCTTCTCATTCTTTGTTTTTAATTACTCTTTTCTATTTTATTCCTTTGCACTTCCTTCTTTATTTCATCTTTAATCCATTTTACTTATTTTTTTATTTTCCTTTTTTTTAGAAAATTCTATTTTTGATTAAATTTTATCTATTCTATTCTTCTATTTTCTTCTTTCATGCTGTTGAATTATGTTATTTAATCTTTTTCACCACACTTTTCTTCTAAATATGTGTCTAGTATAAATATGTTTTCTTTACATTCGAATTTTGGTCTTCATTTTTTCCGACCTTCTTCTAATTTTTTACAAAATTTTTCTTCTTTATTTTTTTCTTAAAATTTCATTGCATTTTGCTAATGTTTTTTGTTTCTTCTTTTTATTAGCTCGTATCAAAAATAATTGTTCTTTGTTTTCTTTAGCATTTAACATATTAAATTTTTTTTCTTAGTTCCCTTTTTCTTTTATTTTTATTCACAACACTGTTCTCTCTAAATATCTATCTCTTAGTTTTCATTTCTTCTGATTTTCTTTCCTTCTGTCACTCTTGGAAATAAATACTTCTTGTAACCATTTGTATTTTTCTCCAGATTGATTTTTTATTTGTGTTTTTTCTTCTTCAACGAAATGAAACGACCAATTAATTTCCGTAATTAAATTATTTTTTGTTTTCCACACCGGAAAAATCCATTTAATTCGACTGATTTAATTCCGATGCGTAAAATCGTCATTTTGTGTGTGTTTCCGTTTGAATTGTTTCCTCTCTCATCCTTGACTGTCATCATCATCATCACCTAAAAAACCCACCGAATTAGAAGTGTTGTAAGGCCAAAAATCGTGCAATTACTCTTAATTGCAGTAATTAAACGACCGGAACATCGTGTATGTTACACTTCAAGGCCGCCTATTATGCAAAATGGATTTATGGGGTTAATCTTTTGGTCGATGGAAGAGTTATTTCTTTCATCATCTCGGCACGTAAGTACGAATCGTGATTAAGTGATGAGTCTAATCAGCTCAACGCGAGCTCACGTAGATTTTATAATAACGTCCGTCGAGGATGTGTGCTTTCGACATACCAAATTGTGAAAAAAAATCGATCGAAGTAGGCTTGATTATGACATGTGTGACATTTGATCGAAAAAATGATCTTAAATATGGGCAATTTTCAAATTCGTTTGTTGGTTTTTTTCTTTGTTTTTGGGTAGGTTTGGTAACAATGAGTAAATAATTGTGACAGGTGTGACATTTGACCGGAAAAATGGGACTAAATATGGGCAATTTAGGTTGTAGGTACTTTCAAATTCGTTTGTTTATCTGTAAAAGTCGGGTTTTGTGCATATATGCGGAAAGCTTACGCAAGAACAATTTTGAACGATTATTCTCACCTCGCAATTAGTCATTTTAGCTGCTTTCAAGTGTTTGGAAAAATACTCACGTACCAATTTTGGAACACCCGGTATATTAATGGTGGATGCGCCAGTTTTTATTCCTATCATACTCGTAAAATTGTTGACTGAATTTTTTGATTCAAAGATTCTAAATTCTGCAGTTGAAAATTTGGTTCTAAGATTCTGAGTTTCAGGTACTATAAAATTGAAAATAGTGAAGATTTAAAGATCTGCAAAGTCAAAAATGGTAAATTTTTACGGCTTAAAAATTCGGAAATTAAGTAGATTCTTAGATTTTAAGATTTTTTGAAACTAAAGAGAAAGATTAGAAAATTTTGCAAGTTGTAGAAGAGATTCGAGAATTTGTTTTTCATGTTCTAAGATTCTAAAAGTCTGCAATACTAAAAAAAGATTGTGTTTTCAAAATCTGAAAAATATAGTTCCTAAAATTTTGTTTTGTTATGTTTCTGAAGGTTCTAATATTCAAAAACAAAAAATTTTGGATTATAATATTCTCCAATTCTCAAAATTCCAAATTTTAAATTTTTTTTCAAGATTGCGAGTTCTAAAAAACTAAAATTCCAAAAATTTCTATTTTAATTCTATCTATAAAATTTAAAATTTTGAAATTAAAAAAAGAAGCATTTTGTCATAAAATTTAATTTTTCTATTGCTTTGAAGATAGTAAAATTCAAAAATCCTTTCTCAAATTCCAACATTTTAAGAATTCTGAAATTTTTAAATTCAGTCTTCAAGTTTATCAAATTCTAAAATTTTGAAGACGAAGTCCTAAAACTCTCAAAATTATGAGAATCAAAAATTTTATTCTCAGGTTGCACAATTCTAAAGATTGAAAAAATTCAGAAAATCGTAGTATTCAAACATTCTGTAATGTTGAAGATTTGAAGATTCAGTAATTTTTGTCACTTTCTAAGCTTCAGAAATTATAAAATTCTAGAATAATAATATTATACGAGTATGACTGCTAAATTTAAATATTTTATTCGAAAATTTGATAATTAACTTTTTTTTGCAATATTCCAAGTTTTAAAATTCTAAAATACTAAAACTCAGAAAATTCCACGCACCCAAAGGTTCTGAAATTCGAGATATTAGTTTTAAAGTTACCACATTCTAAAGTTTTAATATATAGAAATTTTAAAGATTTTAAAGACGTAATAAAAAATCTTAAATTTCTAGAATGCTAAAAAATACAACAATAAATTCTGAAGATTTGATGCTTCTAAATCTCTAAGAATCTAAAAATTTATAGATTCGAGTCTTTATAAGTTCTAGCATAATTCTTTTATCATTCTAAGATTCTAAAA